TGTGAGAGAGAGTGTGTGTGTGTGGGTGTGTGTGTGTGTGTGTGTGTGTGAGAGAGTGTGTGTGTGTGTGTGTGTATTGGGGGGGGTGTGTTGTTTAGCTCCTCTATTGAGTGCTGTTACAAACACACACCATAATAGCTGCTTTTAATTCCTCTCGTGTTTGTTGCTTGTTGACAAACTCAGCGGCCGTAATTGCACGCGGAGGTTCTGAGGCGAGGCGAGGCGAGGTGAGGGCAGTTCAATTATTAAACAAAATTTCTGGCACAACTCGGTTCATAAAGGCTGGCAAACATGCAGACACACTTGTTCACACACAGCTCACTGCATCACTGCAGCCCCCCGCAGCACTGTGACTCACTCTGCCTTTTCCAAACCCCATCGCTAATTAAAATCATTACCAAGCGTTCCACCGGCCCTTAAACAGCTTCCTCTCCCGCACGGACATGACGGTTACAGCGCTGCTGAGACGGCCTTCTGAAACGCCATTAATGAACAAGCACTTTACTGATTTATGCCTCTGTGATGTTGCGTGTAAATGTGTTTGCACAGACATGCAAAGAAGGGCTTAGTGGTAGAGATGGGCAACGAGATAATATTTATCGTTATTATGATATGTTACATCATAATCGTGTCACAATATGCTTTTCTCAGCATATCATGGACGTCGCCAGTACTTAAAGAGCCCGTATTTTACATGAGTAAAAGGCCCCTGATAGCAAGAGGATAGTGGGCCACTGTCGGCCCGCTGAGGACAAAGCTGGTGGTCTACTGGTGTTTTGCTCAGCAGTTTCTGGGCGGCCCAGCAGTGTTTAAGCAGAGTGATAGACGAAATCCCACTCACCATCACTCATTTTCCACTCACAGTATAATTTACTGATTTTCCCTCCTTCCTTTCTTTGTAAATTAGTTTAGTAAATAATTCTAATCCAGCTCAGTGTCAACAACAAAACCAGTATATTTATATCAGGCCTGCCCATTATTTTGTTCTCTCAGTTGTTTGTAATATTTGTCTCAGTTTATTTTCCAAAGTAAAAGTCTCTGTGCATTTAAAATCTGTTTTAGGAGATTAAAAAACACCACAGAACATCTATATTGTATGTTCCTGTTCAGCACTAGACATTTGAATTTGTTAACTGAGATGTGAGTTCTTATCTTTTAAACTGGTGTTTTCAAGTGTCAGAACCGTGTCTGTGCTGCAGCGGGAGGCACTGTGCTCTCACATTAGCTTCGCCTATCAGGCTACAGGTTAAAACACTAACGTTACAGAACAGGTTTGATTTCGGCTTTCTGTCACTCCAACACCGATCGGTCAGTTTGCTCCCGCTGCTCTTGTCTATACCTGTGAAAGCAGAGTTGAATCTAACCTGTGGGGCGTTTGGATCTCATTAGCTAAACCAAGTTAGCAAGGGCAGAGGAGCCAGCTAGCATTAGCTTAGCTAGGAGGCTACATCTCCAAACAGCACAGAACAGGTTAAAATCCACCTTTCTGTACCTCCAACATGAGCCACTCGACTTCACTTCCTCAGATCATCTAAACCTGCATCAGTAAAGCTTTTGTTAGTTAGAATCGAACCTGTTCTGTGGTGAGCAGAGCTGGCAGCATGCTAGCTCAGCTAATACTAACCAGCTACTTTCTCCGGGTTAGCAGCACTGGTTAACATGGTGTTAGATTGAAGCTTTGACATTGGACGAATGGAGGACTTACAGTTGTGCACTGTTTTCATTTATTTGGTGCCAATAATGAGAGCAAACTGAACTTATTTGATTGTTTTTGGGTTTGTGGCACAATACTGACATAAACATAGAACCAGTCAGTGAATATCAAGGTGTTACATCATCCTATCAAACGGTTCTGTGGCCCTAAACACGTTTAGCTAACTGTGTTGAAAAAAAAAACATGCTAAGCCGTGTGGATTTTATTTTAGTAATCAAGACTCCACTTCGTTTCACTTCGGTGAGCTGGGTGTGCATGTAACCCATTTAAACGGATTCTAGTGTAGGGTGTTGTCTTACTTATATAACCATGACTTATGAGTGCTTACAAGAGGTACATAGGAATGTAGTTTACAGTGCTTTTAGCCGTAGAGGTAGCTTAGGGTACTTTCAACATTAGGTGGACTCTCACTGTGCACCAGCTAGATATGGGGTCAACTCCTTGCAGCTTCTCAGGCTGTAGGCCTCTGTTATCAGTCCTGAGGCCCGGCTGAACTGACAAGGGCCTACTGTGAGTTATTGTGTAGTGGCCTTGAGGGTGCAGAGAGGAGAGTAGGTAGAGGGGGCCAGGTGGGTAAGGGTCCCTGACCATATTAGAGCTTCCTTCCTCCTTATTCATTATGCATGTATGTTAACACTGTCATGTTTATGCATCTTGCAATTATTTGTAACCAGTGGATCGTATCTTCTTTGTTCTCTGTTGACCAGTGGTAAGAAACAACACCCCATTTGGGGACTATATAACCTTTGTAACTCTGGTCTGTCTTCGGAGATCTCTGGGGTTTTCCAGGAGCTTCTCCCGGCCGTGAGCTTCAATAAACATATTGCTTTGGAGCATTATTTGTGACTCTGAGACTTTACTGTTTTCTGGTTTACTTAGATATTTTCTACGACAGCCGTGTTCGTGTGGAAACCACTGGAACAGTTACCCTCTGTGCTCAAAACCGTTCGGCCATGCTGTGGAAAAGCGCCTACATTCATCAACAGTATGGCTGAACTCCTTGGCCGTGTGAATACTGAGACTGCTGGATATACCATGCTGGATAAAACAGTTCCTCAGGGAATATTGGAAATTATATTAAGGTCCTCAGAGAACTTCTCAAAAGGGTTCTTCAAGTGTTCTTTCAGCATGGCAAGCTGAGAAACCCCAAAGTGTGCCTCAAGAATCCTTTCACCTTTTTACAGTGTGAGTTCTACTTACAATGTTTGGTTTTAATTCACTTTAACATGACCAGTTTCCAAACTCTCTTTACTCCTTAGAATAAAATCAGCTATTTTTGTTGCTACTGTGTCTTTAAGTCAGTCATATGCAAATGTTTGGGTGAAAATGGTCAAATTACATCTTGATTTTCAAATGGAAAATAAGCTAACAATTATCTATATAGTATAACAGATTAATAATCGTCTACAGAGAAAACTGCTCATTTCAGTGCACAGTTACTGTGCTGAATTTAACAGGCTGGGGAAAAATGAAAAGTCATGGCTGATCTGACTGGCTGTGTTATTCAAAAAGCTCTCTTTGATTATAACACAGGTTATAACAGGGCTGAACTGCTGTGGGCTGAATGGATGTATGTATGTAAATGTGTTGGTTTTTATGTGACATCACAAAAATAGCACATTCAAAATGGACTGCTTTGTTTTTACAGCTTAGTTTCCACATACAGACTATATGAAGTACCTTTAGTCCTGCTGCAGTGTTCTGTGATAAACGGCGCAGAAAGAGCTTTGTAGGTGTTTCTAATAAAGTGGCCTTTTTTGTACATTAAGTGTAAAGCATGCAAAAACAACACGCTGATGGCTCGAGTTCCACTGACGTCGTATTTTTGCATGAACACTGTAATGTCTGTTCTCTCACGGCGTAAGTGGAGCTTCATAACTGCATGTTAGAACTACAGAATGTATTTCAGATCTTAGCTCTGCTCCTCCTGCGCTGATATCTCTAAACTGAATCATGAAAGCATAACTGGACCTCCAGCTCATAATTAACCACACAGTGAATTTACCTTCAGTCAAATTACCAACGGCTGAAAATAGGCTGACCTTAATCTGTCATCTGTCACTTCACACCATTACTAACACTTGCAACACATAACAGCTACAATCTGCTCTCTCTCTCTCTCTCTCTTTCTAGCTGTATCTCTCGCTCTCTCTCTGTATCTCTCTCTCTCACACACACACTGTATCTCTCACTCTGTATCTGTCTCTCTCTCTGTATCTCTGTATCTCTCTCTCTCTTTTTTGTGTCTCTCTCTCTCTCTCTGCCTTTATAGTGCACCAACAGTGAGTAGGAAGAAAAGATGAATAAAAAAGATAGAGGAAGGGATGCTGGTAGGGTATTGGCAGCGTTTTGAAGGTGGTCTGGATTTTGGGAGATGTTCTGGTGACGGGGGTCAGACACCATCATGACTGACAGATCTCTCTCTCTCTGTATCTCTCTCTCCCTCTCTCTCACTCTATGTCTCACTCTGTATCTGTCTCTCTCTCTCTCTCACACTGTATCTCTCTCTCTATCTCTCTCTCCCTCTCTCTCACTGTATCTCTCACTCTGTATCTGTCTCTCTCTCTCTCTCACACTGTATCTCTCTCTCCCTCTCTCTCACTGTATCTCTCACTCTGTATCTGTCTCTCTCTCTCTCTCACACACACTGTATCTCTCACTCTGTATCTGTCTCTCTCTCTCTCACACACACTGTATCTCTCTCTGTATCTTTCTCTCCCTCTCTCTCACTGTATCTCTCACTCTGTATCTGTCTCTCTCTCTCTCTCTCTCTCACACGCACTGTATCTCTCACTCTGTATCTGTCTCTCTCTCTCTCACACTGTATCTCTCACACTGTATCTGTCTCTCTCTCTGTATCTCTGTATCTCTCTCTCTCTTTTTTGTGTCTCTCTCTCTCTCTCTGCCTTTATAGTGCACCAACAGTGAGTAGGAAGAAAAGATGAATAAAAAAGATAGAGGAAGGGATGCTGGTAGGGTATTGGCAGCGTTTTGAAGGTGGTCTGGATTTTGGGAGATGTTCTGGTGACGGGGGTCAGACACCATCATGACTGACAGCTGTCAGTCAGTGTGTATGAGTGTAGATGTGTGTAAGAGAGAAACAGAGTCTTTTTAATTGAACATGTAGAAGTTTCCAGGCTGGAGAGGCGCTGGTGTGACAGTAAGTCGAGGTTATGGGTTTGACAGTAATCTCTCATGATGTAGAGTGATGCAGAGAGCGAGAGCGGCAGTATGAATAAAATAACGACTACTCCAGCATCATCTCTCCAGCGCACTTCTAACGCACCCGGGAACAGTTCCCCGTCTTTCGCTGCTCTGCTTTGCCTCGGTCCACGCTGAGCAGAAGAACATGGTCCAGGCCATTTCCGCTCTGGCCTTCTCGCAGTCTGAGAGCCGGAGAACTGACATACCTGAGCTTTCAAACTTTTATGAGCCTCCCTCTCTGGGTCTGTCTGTGAACTGAGGATTTCATTCAGACCTCTAAGGGTTATGAGTCATTTAGTAACCTGCTTAAATAAGGACTCTTAATGGGACCAAGAAACAAGGTCTAAATGGCCCAACCTTCTCTCAGGGTGGCTTAACAGTGTCACTCCAATTTGGCATATACATACATACATACATCATCTAAACCGCTTATCCTTCTGGGTCGCGGTGGGGCGCTGGAGCCTATCCCAGCTGTCATTCGGCGGAAGGCAGGATACACCCTGGACAGGTCGCCAGTCCATCGCAGGGTCACACACAGTCACACACACACTCACACCTAGGGGCAATTCAGCATGTCCAGTCAGCCTGACTGCATGTTTTGGACTGTGGGAGGAAACCCACACAGACACGGGGAGAACAGGCAAACTCCACACAGAAACGACCCTGGTCGCGCGGCTGGGAATCAAACCCAGCCATTCTTGCTGTGAGGCGACAGCGATACCCACTGCGCCGCCCCAATTTGACATATTGGAGAAAAAATAAAACATAAAACGTGGCCTGTGAAGAAGTGTCACGCCTCCTGCTGAGGGCGCCTCCTCCACCTGTTCCTTTTTCCTCAGATCACTTGAGTCCTTGAAAGGCCCAGAGGACTCCAACTTCCATGAATCAGTGGGAGACCACGTGACTCTTATTCCATCGCCATCAACCAATGAACATTCATCTCAGCGTTCCTCCTCACCGGAAAACTGAACTGTCACACTTGTTTTCCATTCCACTCCATTAGTCAGGTAGTATATAAAGCTTTAGCTTAGAACTTTGCCAAGTATTGCCAGCAGCTTCCGTTGCACACAGAGTGTCTTTGTTTGTGTAAGTTCTTCTGTGTGTGAGCTGTTTTCCGTATTTCTGACCTGCCCTTTTTGCCATTGCCCTTTTTGGTTTGTTTGCTGGATATGGTCTGATATTTTGGTTTTTGAACTCGGACTGGTTTCTGGCTACTCTCTGGAAGTCCTGTTTGTTTTGGTTCTCTTGCTCTCTGGTTCTGACCCTAGCCTGTTCTGACTACACCCTCTGTACCTTCACCAAAACCTCAAGTAAACTTCAGCCTTGTCCTTTTCTCTGCGAGTGTCTGATCTGTGTTGACATTGTATCCAGAAGATTTTGTTTTCTATATTTACCCAGTAAATAAACAGAAATTAGGCACTGACATTTGCAGAAAATGCCATTTTTAAGTTTGTTTCCTGCAGAGAATCATTAACAAAGCATGGCATTTCACCAGGGGAGTTCAGACTTTTGCATACAACTGGACATTTTTCTACTAAAACAGTGAACAGTACATCGTCTATACTGATATACTGCGATACTGTTATATTCTGTGATTTTTTTAATTAGGTTTTAGCAATTTTTTTATCTGTTATTTTTTAGTGTTCTTATTCAGATCAGTCCGATTCAGATGTATTGCTATTTTAATCCCAGGATTATTACACACTAAGGCTTACTATTCAGTAACTACAGGGACTTCAATAAAAGCTGGCTGAGCTATTCTTAGATTATAGAAGTATGCAATAAAACTTCGGGTCCACCGGGGGGCTCTGGCCATTTAAGGGTTTAAAGTGGGTAAAATAAGTGGTGAAATCTGAGATCTTGTGTGACAGAAGACCGTTAAAGACACCGTCATAGTGAACAAACTCGAAATACAGGCGTTTGGAAAGCTTTTCTAGCTGCCTTTTAATCTAAACACAGAAACATAAAATGTGAGTGTGTAGCTAAATTATGTGGCTGTATTATCTATGAAAATAGAAATATTAAAACACTCAGATCAGATCGAACAGGGGCAACAAACTGGATTAGGACCTCCCTGATATCTTTAGTTATATATCTGATGGACAGTGAGCACTTTAATCCATGATGTAATGCTTATAAAGTAGCTGTGTTTCTGTTTTATTTATTTATTTTACTATATTATTATAATATAACAACACTGTCTACTTAGATTGTAGCTACTACTGCCAAAGCCACTGAACTACCACGCTTCACAAAGTTTGGACACTTTGATAAGTTCTTAAATCTTTCGATGTCACTTGAATGCGCGGCAGTGTTCGCTTGCATGCTGCACACATGTAGCAATGCTCCTGATAACGACCCTGTAATTCATATAAAGCTTTTCTGAGCACATTGTGGGCTTCGTCTGAACTTCTAACCAACTGCATATTCCATTAAAAGCAGATTTAAAAGAGGCTCCCGAGGGTCAGGTTTTGCCTCAGTGTGAGAAGATTGAATTTGAATCCCAGCAATACTGGGATAATTAGCCAGAGCACAACCGGCCCTGCTTCACTGGATGCAGTGCAGCACAGTGTAAGAAGAATTACATGAGTGGATCAGACACAGCAGTGCTGCTGGAGTTTTAAACACCTCAGTGTCACTGCTGGACAGAGAATAGTCCACCAACCAAAAATATCCAGCCAACAGCGTCCTGTGGGCAGCGTCATGTGACCACTGATGAAGGACTAGAGGATGACCAACACAAACTGTGCAGCAGCAGATGAGCTATCGTCTCTGACTTTACATCTACAAGGTGGACTGACAAGGTAGGAGTGTCTAATAGAGTGGACAGTGAGTGGACACAGTGTTTAAAAACTCCAGCAGCACTGCTGTGTCTGATCCACTCAGACCAGCGCAACACACACTAACACACCACCACCACGTCAGTGTTACTGCAGTGCTGAGAATGATCCACCATCCAAATAGTACCTGCTCTGTGAGGGTCCATGAGGGTGCTGACCACTGAAGAACAGGGTAAAAGCGGGCTAACAAAGTATCAGAGAAACAGATGGACTACAGTCTGTAACTGTAGAACTACAAAGTGCACCTATATAGTAAGTGGAGCTGATAAAATGGACAATGAGCGTAGAAACAAGGAGGTGGTCAGAATGTTATGCCTGACCGGTGTGTGTATCATGAAAATGTCTTCAAGTACTGTGAGTTTAGTTTCCCAGCCCCACCTGACATGAGCCAGACCTGCGCAGGACTCAGGGTGGTCTACTGTCAATCATCAATCTTGTGTCAACAGGGCATGTGAGTTCTCCGTCCATCTGAGCAGGTAGTCTATAATCTTCTATTCACCTCCTCCTCTAATCATTCCGCCCGGCTTCCTGCTCTCACACCAGCCCCTGCGCTCTCTCATGTTACCAGAATGACTGTTTTATTGAACGGAATGACCGAGCCATTTAGTCCACTTTCACCTCTGAGGCTAGTTTCAATTACTCACAGTGGAGAACAAAGTGCAGTGAGCAGGTGGGTCACGAATGCTAAGCTTAATTCATTTTCTCTTAGGTTTATAAATAAAATGCATTATGTAACACAGATATGCACACAAACATCTACGACATCAGCGAAAATACTAGCATTGTGATCATATTGCCACTCAGATCCCTCAGATCCACTCAGACCAGCGCAACACACACTAACACACCACCACCACGTCAGTGTTACTGCAGTGCTGAGAATGATCCACCACCCAGATAGTACCTGCTCTGTGAGGGTCCATGGGGGTCCTGACCACTGAAGAACAGGGTAAGAAAGTATGCAAAGAAACAGATGGACTACAGTCTGTAACTGTAGAACTACAGAGTGAAACTATACGGTCAGTGGAGCTGATAAGATGGACAGTGAGTGTAGATACAAGTAGGTGTACTTAAGGAAGTGAGCGGTCAGTGTATGTACTCTATACAGCCTATACCACATTTAACACTCAGTAAGCCTGACATGAAATGAATATCAATGCACTTATCAAAAGCTGCTTCAAGCGGTTCAGGTCTGTCAGGTAAGCATCGCAGATGAAAGAGATCAAAGATGACGCTCACAGCTGAGACTTCCACACCTGCCTCCGCTGCACGGATCTAAGATCATCACGCGTTTTTAGCGTGAGCTCCTGAGCCGACTTGTGATGGCACATGCAGCAGAACTGCTCTCGGAGCGCTGGGGGGGCTGCATACAAGAACCCTTAGCTTAGAGATCAGATTAGTGTGTCAGGATAAAGAGTGAAGTCAACTCTCTTCAGAGGCTAATCTAACCCTTATCTGTTCTCCTGGGGGCTGCAGAGAGCTTTACGGTGCTCCGCTCTGCCACGTGTGAGCAGGAACAGTCAGCACGGATGTGTGGTGCCAGGGGATGAGGAGAGGCCTACCTTGTGCTCTGACTTTGGGAAAGAAAGGCATTCCCAGACTCACCTCTACACCCAGCCTTCGGAGAATCCCTGCTATGACTGTGGAGGACAATCCATCTCCTAACAGTGTTGAGGAAAAGTACTTTTGGAAGCCCCTCGTATCCCTGAGTTAGTAGGGGCTGATCGTACCCACTGATGAACAAGCCTGTCTTTAGCACATGAAAGTTGTTATTGATGAAATGTCCCTCTAAAGAACAAGTCAGGCGTGCAGAGAACACATTACACACATTCAAACAAACATAATCTTTTGCAATGGAAAAGTTCCATTACACCAGATTAAACTGTGGCTTTAGAAGGTTTCACTGGTGAGGAAGGTTAATGGTGGGTTTCCAGTGGCTGTATATGGTGGTGTTGTGTTGTTCGTGACAGTCAGGTCTTCTGGCTGAACACTGGGAGTCACCATGTTATGTCTCTGCCTTTTCACATAATTCTGGCCTTAAGTCTATTAATGACAGGTTAACGGGTTTGCCTGCCTGTCTTGTGATCGCTGCCTCTTGAAGTTTCTCCAGTGAAGCTGCTCACCAACGTCTGACATTCCTGATTTTTTATATGCAATTTTTGTAAATTATTTTAACTTCTTATTCTCCAGGGTATATTTTGGTTTGTCCATCTGAATTTCCATGACCAAATCATAAGGCAGATTATTCAGTAACTGCGTGAAATAAATGTACATTTTTATTTTATTTATTTATTTATTTATTTTTGGTAAAAGCTCCCCTCAAATTAACAGAACATGTGTTTTATGATACACATATTTCTATATGCTTACAATTTACTGCTGAAAGCCAAAAATCTGAGACGCTCTTTGTATTATTTTATAAAAATAATGTTTACAGAGCAGATCACTGAAGAGACGCCATCTGTTTATAGTTTATAGCCCAGATTTGTGGAAAAATGGGTCGACTTTCAGTAGAAAAAAAGTTCAGCTTCTTTTATTATAAGGGTTTAAAATTACATCACCATCTATTTGACTGGAGAGAAGACTTCAGAGTGTAGCTTATGAAATATGAAAGTTATGAAGAATATGATGAAGTGCGTTTAGAACCACCGGTGGTTCGAAGGAGCATAAGAGGCTATGTAAATGATTTTATTTTATTATTTAAATATTTAAAAGACAGACTAAGGTTTTACTCAAAACGAAAAAACACAACAAAAAAAACACAATGCTTCTCAATGAAGAGCCGTTTGGGAGCTGAGTCGGCTCTTATTAGTGAGCTGAGCCAATAGATCTGACTCCCTGAAAAGACCCAGAATGCCCATCACTGGCCTCTGACGTTGAACGTCGTCCCCAGATGTGTTTTTTCTTTATGACATCACGTCCGGCCCTGTGAGGCCGAAGCATGAGTAGAGCAGTGGGGATTTCATTCAAACGATAATTAAAATGTTATGATGTGACCCATCGAGCTGTTTTCTAAATTCATTCTGAAATGTGTTACTTTTTATGTATTGTTATGAAATAAGTTATGGAATACATTCAGGACAGCATATTTGCTATAATGTAAAAAATCACCATTTTTTTTAAGCAATTTTTTTAAGCATTCTGAGTGAAGGTCAGTCAGAGGCATAACTGGGATCCCATGGCCTCCAGTTTAAAATGAATCAAATTTACCTTCAACACTCGAACAAATGAACCAAGGTGTTTTTACTTAGAAACTGAAAATATGTGAACATTAAAACAACGAATTTCGTTGTGTTTGAGTAACTGGTTTCAGTAAAATGAACAAAAAAGAATGAAAGTACATCTCCACGACTGAAAACAGTTTAGTTTGATCCAAAGAGAATTCAATTCTAATGAAAACTGAATAAGCGGCACTGAAATGTTTCAGTTTTGTTCCGTCAGCAACTGAACTTCATGTAAAGATGACAAAGTGTGTGTTTACTGACTCTACTGGATTAAACAGAAAAGTGTGGCATAATTAAATTAAGTACGTACAACAATTTATTTATTGAGTGAAGTAAACAAAATAAGCATGATTTGCTTGTTTTCTCACTATTGCTATGTCTCGACCTACATTGTGCCCTGATGCAGATTAATGGTTGAAGTTTTACTGTAAAGTTATCGATCCATAAGTCATGAGTGTAAAACTGCATAAGTAGCAGTAGTTAAGACGTCAGGAGCCCTGGGTCCCATTTCTAAACACACTGAGCCCCACAAGTTCCTTCAGCAGGCGAGCGCTTGTGTTACTCATGTGTGACGCATACACCAAGTTCGGGAGGGTGAACGAGTCTACGAGTCAGAGAAATGGAGCTTGGCTGGTCGGGGCTTCGGCGCAGATCCCTCTCTTCACGCTGAGAGTCGGCCCTCTGTTTGCCAGCAGTGCACGCTAAAGTAAGCAATAATGCAATAAGCAGAGAATAATAATAATGATGATGATGATTATGAAGTGGCAAAGATTGGATTAGCCCGTGGCTTGTGTCATACCTCCTCCGCTCCCTCCTTCCCTCCCTCCCTGCTCAGGACCAAGGGGAGGGTGACATTTACGCCCGGCCTGGCAGTGCACTGCTGGGCACGCGGCGGCCAGCCGTGGTAATGGGCGTTTTACAGACGGCATTTTCACTGCCAGCTTATTAGCTCAGGAAGGGGAAAAAACAGGAGGAAAAAAAGAAGAAAAGAGCTTATACTCTCTCTCTCTCTCTCTCTCTCTCTCTCTCTCTCTCTCTCTCTCTCTCTCTCTCTCTCTACCCCCCTCCACCCCTCCCTCCCTCCCTTTTGGGCAGTACGTTGAAGCCTTTACGCCAGCTGTTTTTGGCCAAGGGTTCTGTTTACATGTAAGCATCAGCCTCTCTCTCTCTCTCTCTCCTTCTTTCTCTTTCTCCTCACTAAAGTGTCTTTCTGTCATTCTCTTCTACCCCCCACAACCCTCCCCCCCCCTCCACCACCACCACCTCATTTCCCTCTTTTCTTTCCTCCTCCATTTGCACACATATGCCACAGGGCCGGGCTGCTGCAGTTTAACTAAGCAAACACAGTAAAAATAGTAAACGGGTGTTTGGAGAAAATGGGCCGAGGCCTGAAGAGCGCCGCAACCGAACGCTTCCCCACTTTATTAATATTTGAGCAGTGCGGTAAACTCTCCGGCATCGCTGCGCATTATCAGAATGCCGGCGTGGCGAGCCCAATAACCGCAAAGCAGGGGCGTGTTTGTCAAAGAGAGAGAGAGACTTTGATGTCGGGACACATGCACTGTTAATTTTCTCTGTCTGGGCTAATTCCCCTGACTAAACACTGATATTTACATTTACATCATCTGGAGAGATTGCCTCTCGCACCGGCTGACATTCCAACTTTCAGTAATTAAAGACTGTCCTGGGGAGAGAGAGGCAGGCTGTTGTGTTGGTGGGGAGAGAAATACAGCAGTCTCTGAATGTTTTGCCAAACAGGCTGTTTTAAAGCAACAGTAATGTTCGCACGTCAGTGGTGCAGCCCTGCGTTTAGTCATGTGTTCAGGAATCAGACCTCAGCATGTCTTTCCCACTTATACGAGAGCAGGCATGCAGGAAAAGACTGATCTCTGTATGAACTGGTCAGTAATAATGTTTTTGATATTGAATTATAAACTGTCTTTTGAAAGTTTAAGATTTTTGTTTACTGAACTGAAGCGCTGAAACTTTCCTGTGAATAAAATGTCTTATTATCAATAATTTCTTTGTATAGATGTTAATGATGTATAATTTTCTTTGTATAGTCATTCATGAAACTGCTTTCATCTCTCAAAATAGCTTTAATCCATTTTCTACACTGTTAAAATACAGATTCCTAAGTGGTTCTGGGCTTAGATAAAGAGTCTGGACTGAACTACTTAGTTGGTAAAGAACCTTTATATTGTGTGACCCCCTGCACTGAAGTCCCTGTAGTTACTGAATAATAAGCCTTAGTATGTAATAAGCCTGAGATTTTAAGGGGTTAAATTTCATTTAACCCCTTAAATGAAATTTAAGACTGGCACTCCAGTCTAATATTAGAGTTTACTATGTTACGTGTCGTGTTATGCAGTCTTCTTCTGTAGCACAGCGTTTTTTTCCCTAAGCCTCATCAGTTTGACAGATTCATAATTTGTACAATGTTTTCATTCATCAGTGTTCACTACAATTCCCAGCAGGCAAATACATCACACGATCACTGGGAGTCTTTGTGGTGTCAACTATTCGTAACTGCTAGCCTAACTACTCATCTATAGGCTAATAAAGACTAAATGTACACCAGAGAAGTTTTTATCTTTGCAGAGGAAAGACGTCAAACTGAGGTGAGCTCAGAGGCGGTTTAAGGAGAGCCCAGCCACTTCCTGTTTCTTCCATTACATTAAAAACATGCAAAATGACAAAGGAGCCTGTGAGAAAGTCCTCAATGAATAGGAATGAAAAACTAAAAATTAAACGTATTTCTAATCATTTGTGCAGAACCTTCATCTAATTATGGAAAGTAGACGGATGTATTCCTTTAAAATAATAGAAGAAAACTTACCAGTATCTTTACATTTTTCTACAGCAAACAGGTTTTAGGCAGTAGTACCAGCATTACTGCTTCTGAGTGCTGATTGTTTGGCGAGCTGACAGGTGAAGACACCATGAATGTACATGGGGTTCTGTTAGAAAGTCCTATAACCTGAGTCAAAAGTTCTCAGCAATATATCAGCAGTGCTGAAATTTTGTCTGCTGTTCTGTGTTCAGAGAATGTGTGCAGGGAAGTTTCCTAGTCTTTAAAGTGGAAAATCTCACTCTAGAGACTTCTGTGATCTGAGGTTCTGGGTTCTGAGATCTTCCCTCTGAAATGGGACCCTCAAATAAAAAGAGCATCACTTCATTAACAGCTACCAGCGCTGCTCTGTAGGCGACCCTGCCAGTCTGCAGTGACAGCAGAGGAGGGTAAAGTTCAGCTCCTCACTGCTGGGCTTTAGTTACATTTAGGGATCATATGCCTTCAAAGAGGGGGGCAATTATTTATTATCACCACCCCTAATTTTTCGGTGATATAAAGCTGAAGTGTCTCTTTCATATTTTCCTGTTCCACTTTAAATGGAGCAGCAGTTACATTCTGCCACTTCAGGTGTCAGAATTGCTGGACTTTTTAAGGTGGAGTGGGAAAGTTAGCTAGCTAGCTACCGAGACATTAGCATACTTTAGTGATTTTTTATGCTTGTTATGAAGAAAAAGACCGTAATACACTGAAACAACATGAACTAAGATAATACAGTGATTATCATAATTTTTTAACGGAGAAAATTCTCACATTTGTGTGTTTCTTTGGTCTCTTGTTCTCCATCTTACCGGTTTTTCTTTTTTTCCTCACAATGCTCCATTTGGAGTCTCTGAAAAACCTCCGTTTGGAGGGTCATGTAGCCCCAACACTTCACCCCACCCCTCTATCTCAACAAGAATCGGGACACCCTACCCCTAGACGTGGACGCGCAAAATGGAGGGCTAAGGGCTGAGCGGTAGGGGCGAGGGGTGAAATGGGTTTGGGCCTTAGTATAGACTAAAAGAGACATATGAAGGCCAGAGCAGTCTGGAATAAGGGAGCAGGGAACGTGTGTGAGCTCGTGACACAGCCGTGCTGCTGTGTGTATCTGGGGAGACGGAGCTAAAATAGCAGCTTTGAGGCTTCCATGGATCTAGAGATCCAGAGAGCTTCGCAACACCTCATACATAATCAACCACCACGGATGGCAACAGCAGCAGCCTCTCATCCACCTAATGACCACGGTGCTGAACGGGTCAGTCCTACTGCAGTGAGAGAGAGAGAGAGAGAGAGAGAACAGCAGGGCCGGATGAATGAAACCAAACGCTCAGTGATGCCTGTTCTTTTCACAGGCTGCTATGGAATCTCATTGGATTTGTTTTAATACTCCCACAACTCTGAAGTGGGAAGCTTGCGTTTGTGCCTAACCCCCAGCAGATGTTTCAAGTCAAATCCTCTTTATATTTCCTCACTCAGTGTTTTCGCGCAGACAGACCGAGCGCAGATTAAAGGTTGCGAAAGCTCGATTTTTCACGTTTTCATTCCGAACCTCCGGGGAGGCAGAATCGCCAGAAGCGCATTTAATATTCCCTCTCCGTTCAGAGACAGCCATCAGTGTCACACGCCAGCGCCAGTGCTTATAGGCATAGATGCAGAACAGCGTCGTTTATTATGCCGCCGGATATCATTCATCCCTTTATGTGGCTGCCTGGATAGCATAAAGATAAACACGAACTTGCACTATATTGCATTATACTGCTCACTTCTCTCTCACTGGCTGATCCCTTTGAACCTGATAAACATTCTTTTTCCATACTTACTGGCCACTTTATTAGAAACATCTACCTTGTAGCTCCACAGTTAGAGACTATCCATGTATTGTGGCGCAGTTTATGTTCACCATCCTCTAGCCCTTCTTCAGTGGTCAGTTTCTGGCCACAGAGCCGCTTTTGGCTGGATATTTTCGGCACTGCACCATACGCACTACCGCATCACTGCCTTTATTGTTCTACATGCTTAATATGCCACTGTGCATAACCTGTGTAATACTTCAAACTATCTCCGGAGGGCAGACACAGTTTGGTTGTGACTGTAAATTTACAGCCGCACAGAGCTGCAGTTCCTCGTGCCAAACATGACACTTTCAATTTATGTCATACAGCAACCCCAGAAGATCTGCTTCAAAATATGAAGGTAACATTATTTTAAAGCTGCACTGGGCGATCTGGAGTCCCCTCTGGTGGAAATTACACAGTTTGTAATGCCAGTTGTGCTTCAGAGTGAAAGAGTATTCAAAGAGAACTTAGTCAAAACTCGTTCAGCAGCAACAATTTAGAGTGTTTTTTCCTCCTGAGTAAGACTTTCATTTTAACAAAAAACAAAAACTTTACTCAACACAGCTTTCAATTTTACAAAACACAACACTGTAAGGTGTGATAACGAAATGATACTAATATCAGACGACACACTTTATATCTAATCCTGTAAAATAAAATATCTCCCGAAAAATGAATAAGTTGTACTCAATGTCCGTTTCTGTGGAACTGTGCGTCCACCACCAAATAACATCGGTCAACAGAGGTCCTGGGATCAGAAACTGACCAATGATGAATGGGGTAGAGGCTGACTGACAAACATAGCAGCAACATAGCAATATTGCATCATGTTTCAGTTAAGTGACCCTTATTAGTCCCACAACAGGGAAATTTCACCTCTGCATTTAACCCGCCTGTGCAGTGAAACACCACATACACACTAGTGAACACACACACTAGGGGGCAGTGAACACACACCCAGAGCTGTGGGCAGCCCTATCCACGGCGCCCGGGAAGCAGTTGGGGGTTAGGGGTCTTGCTCAAGGGCACTTCAGTCACATACTGTCGGCTCAGGGGATCGAACTGCCGACCTTCCGTTCACAAGGTTGGTTCCCATGACTGTTTCAACCTAATATCGATCTGCTTCATGTAGGCCTGTCAGAATTCACTGAAGATGATTAATCATCATCACTAACTGCAGTTATTTAAGATGCTCGCAATCATTTAAGCTGACTGCAGCCATTTTCCACAGTCGTTACATTTCAGTCATTTTATTCTGCAA